CGGCATCTACACTTTGGACATGTTGGTAGTGGAGATGCCGTGTTTCGTTCTTGATTAGCGTCTTAGAGTAAAATCATGTCTATGTTATTATCATATTGATGAGGGTGATGATTTGACGACGATTTTAAGACAAAAATCATACCGGTAAGCTTTCCAAAAATAAATTCATCGATTCATGTGTAAGATGATATGTTCAGTATTATTCTTGGAAAAATGGAATCTTCGATGTATCTAGACACTATTTCTTCGTACGTGTTGAATTGATATGGCAGCGGTATAACAAATGTACATAAAACTAAAAAGTACATAAGATACAGTCGCTTCAATGTATTTTCCTTGTCACTCCTACTTGTAAGATCACTCATTTGACTTGTGTTTATTTAGCATGTAGCGATTAAGACGAAGAACCATTCTGTTTGTACACTCTGTATTGATGTGTTCCACGAGCTCAGAGTAAAACTATAAGAGGAATTCATGTTTAAATAGAAAATTAAGTCGAAATGATGTATATCATATTTGCTTTAGTACACGGTCGATCTTCACTCCAAACACATCGAATATTATAAGTCGATAAAAGCAAGGAGAAATAATACAATGGAAACAAACGAGCTGCTCGTCGTCCTACGAACGACCAATAACACTTAGCTAACTGAAATTTGCAATTGCCATAGTTCCATAAACCATAACAAAGTCACTCAGACAAAAAAATAAGACAACACCCACTTTGTAAATCACGTAGACACAACACGAATACGATATTTATAGAATATTCATAGTTTGACTTCGTATGCCCTTGAAGCGATTTCTTGCTAAACCTATGACGGACTTTCTATTGTTTCTCGATGTGTACAATGGTATTGTAATATAATAAGAGGCAAAATATCTTATGATTACATTTGATTAAATTATATCGGAACGCATAGGAATATTTCTCGTGCAAAACCGAATACATGCTGGTATTTTAGAGAGTCAGAGTAGGAAAAAGATGAATTCTAACATAAAGTATATAATAGAAGCGGATGAGTTCATAGGCGATGTTTGAATAATTATTTGGGTAAATAACTTGATTTTTGTCCTTTTCTTAGTCATCTAATAAAACATCAGAATTGAATGAGATTTATTAAGTTTTTCCAAAGTTCCGGCAAGCATCCCAGACATACAAATGGTAGAAACATAATCACATGATCAGTGAGATACGATAGAACTATCGATGCTGGCTCCTGCAGCATAAATCCCAGCAAATGCATTATAGAAAGAAAGAAAAGTGGAAAATTAACGGATAGATACAATGCGGAAATACCGAGTAATTGAATGGCCATTCTGCGATATTTCTTCCATATGATCGACTGATGAGCCGTTCGTTTGTGACAAACGACACGAATCAATAGCGTAATATTGTAGAATATAATCAATATCGTAGGTACGACCCCATGTAAATAAAGTTCCCAATAAGACAAAAACTCTTTCTCATGATAGCAACCATAATCTCCGCAAACGTCCCAAGTATAATTCCAATCAGTCGTACACGGATATAAAAATATTACGACGATGTAAAATAGCGTCATATAGATAAGAAGAGAATATAATGGTATATAATGAACAATAATTCTCTTTAATCGAGTACTGGTTAACTGGTGATGAAAAACGAGAATGTGTCGTTCGAATGAGGCCCATGCTAACAGAACTATAATGGTATTATAGATTCCATAATCGACAAACAACCAAATGGAACAAAATACCGAGGATTTTAACCATACTTGACCATCTAAGTAGTAATATATTGCGGTGTTGGATATATTGAACGAAACATAAACTGAACCAAGGATGAGTATAGTGATGATAGAATGATGATGGATGGATTGGCGAAGAGTTTGTATGACAAGGAGATGAATGAGAAGAAAGAGAGAACAAAGAAGAGAAGGTACAATGAAAGGAACAAGAAACCAAAAACAAAGACGATTGGACATCAACGAAGCATAGTCATCGGTACTATCGTTAGACTCGTTCATCGTATTATTCAAATTCAAATTCATATTTAGTAGGTAAGTGGAAATGACACAGATCGCCTTTTTTCATTTTCTTTTAGATCACATGATGGTAGTTCGTGCTCGCTTTCACCTATGTAATTATCATTAACTTTTCACAGGAAGTATGTTTGAACACTCAACGGATGTTTATTGTCTCAAAAGTACACTTTGATTGGCAAAAATCCGGAGCATGAAAACTTTGTCACTTATTGAACTTTTATTCTAGAATTGAACTTGGAATCAGTTCTGTTCTGTCACCTTAGCACTTGATAATTCATGTTTACAGATCGCTTGCTGGAGTTTGAACGTGAGCATGAAGCTAAATAGAAGAGATACAATAATTTATTCGTACAGATTACTCAGATTGAGATTTAACAATGATATATTCCATTTATTTGCTATGATACTTACAAAAAAGTCTGCATTACTTGTTTTTATGAATAAAAATATCAAGTCTGTATACTGAAAGAAAAAATGATTGTCTAGGGTGTTGTTTGGATGAGAGCAGAACATGAATTGCAGAATAAATTTCAAAAATAAAGCGTACAGTTATTTAATTCATGCATCTTAATACTTGTTATCGCATCAAAGCATTAAATTCGACAATTTCAAATGATCTCAACTGGTTGTTCAGGTAAGCCAGCTGTTTGTCGGATAATATCATTGATTTTCTCTGCACTCGCTAACAGAAGCTCAGAAACTGGAAGTTTTAAGTCTTCCGCGTCTATATCGCCATCTTCAGCACGTGCCTGCAACAAGGTCAGGTAATTAAAAATATGCTTATGGGCTTTTTTGTAGAGTCTGTCTTCGAGTTCATTTATATGAAACACTTGTTCGCAGAGTTTTGAGCGTTGATAACGTTTATATTCGGTCACAAAGCCGTCTGTATCACAATAAAGGTAGAAACGTCTGCGTACATTTGTTGGACTAGCATAGATATTAACCATGACAATAGCATGATGAGGAAGGAATATGTCTATTTCTCCCTTAAAGTTTGCATAATATTCTATTATTTCTTTGCATTGAGCTGGAGCGAGACAATGGAGGAAAAAGTGCTCGTGGAAGAAATCCGGTCGATCAAATCCATGTAAGGTGTCGTTTGGTGCCAGAAGTATTAGTATTGATGAAGGATCCACCCTGAGTGTTGAGTTAGTCATCTGAAACTACAAAGCATTTGATTAGCTAGAAATGTATCCTATTCCGCAACTTTGTGCATCGCCGGAACTGGTTCCAAATGCACAGGATTGTGGAATAGGAGCACTGCTCGTTTTATTCTATTCAAAAAAGTCAGCAAAGGTCAGAAAAGATATTAATAATATTATAGTCAACATTACTTTGCTTAAGGAAAACGTGAATCAAATATGTAGAATGTAAACTTAAATATGAGCTCTGATTGAGTTAGTTTCTTTTCGTGAGAAAGACTGATGAGTTCTGATTAAATTCTATTGCTTTCTGATAATATTTTTGTGCCAACTCACGGCTCATATTTTCTGCACAGAATTCTCCGATTCTCTCACATATCGAGGCACGCTCAGCAACCCATTGCAAAGCAAGCGCTCTTGCTTGATAGTATATGTTGTGGACGTTTGCAAATTCTTCCAGTAACATCTGATCACTTTCTGTAACTGACGGATGGTCACGTATACTGAGAATGTAAATTTGATGGACACAAGCTATTGATGATAATTCTTTTAAAATATTCGTTTCATTCTTTATATTTGCCGATATGATTATAGGACAAACGTAGTCTGTTGAATGAATCTCTTTCAATTTCGCGATAAATTCGGAACCGTTGTCAAATAATACGCCTTCTTCATGCGTCAGCGTTTTTAAAAGTGTGACAAGTTCATCACCTGCTGATCGTTGTTCGACCGTACAATAAATAAAGGTACTGTTGCGCAGATTTGCCAGTAAATCCTCTTCAAAATACGAATCGTCAAGTAATGAATCATCTCTGGTCTCAATCATTCGATCGACTTGATTGATCAAACTGTTCACGTATCGCATAGGTTTTAGCGCTAAGTGTGCATCGAGTTTGTCTGCACGACCCAAAAGAATTTTCGCCCAATAAAAATAAGTCAACGCCTGGTGAATATTCGTTATTATGTCCTTTTCAAGAGATCTTTCTCCGATTTTAACATAGTAGTGTGATATGTCGCGCAATAATCGGCACAAAAGATCGAGTTCGTGACCAAAAGTAAGCAGATAATCAGCATATTCCATCTGCCAATCGAGATCTAGCCATTCGTAAAATTGCAAAACGTAGATTTGAATGCGCCCATCTTCCAATTCTGCCGTATATTCCGAGCAAATCTGAGGAACAAACGTTTGTCCAATTACATCAGATACAATTATATAGATTTGCTTATCTTCTCGAATGCTTTCACAAATATAATTCAAACATGAGGCTGATTTAGTAAAAGCTGCCAACTGAGAAGCAATGCCAAAATCGATCGTTGAAAACTGGCATGAGCCATAATCTATATTGTCGTATATATCAACCATCGAGAGATCATCACTAGTGGACGGATCGATATTTCGAGCAAATACTCTCTTAAGATGAATATAATCATTTGGTGAACCAATATGATCGTCCAACCATACAATTGAAATATCATGAAACGATGTATTCATCTTTTTAATCGACTGTATGTTAAATAATCTGAAACGTGTGTCGAGAAGTAAACAAGTACACTTTCTTTTTCGCTTGCTGAAGGTAAAAACCCAATTTAATATCTCCGAAAAGTGAAAAATACCCTTTTTTATACACACACGACACTCTCATCTCGTTACCTACTTCCTTTCTTTTTTCCAAGCTCGCTTTTCTTGTCAACATTAGTCTAGAGCAACAACAAAATTTTCTTCCTTTCTTTTCCTTCCTACGACAAATAGAACAATTGACGGCATAGAGAAGCCATAAAACATATACGCCGTCTTCACGAAGTTTTATTGGGCATATAGTGTGAATCTATTTTATTTAGCATTAAATAGATTAGAAACTTTTGTTTTTATTCTTGCGATTGGATTTTTGCTCATTTTCTTATCATGATGATCAAGACAATCTACGATAACTTTGATAAGATCGACTAAAGATGTGTTCAATGTCCATTTGGTTTTACACTTCAATAATTCATGATCGAGTTCCCCTAAAAATATTATTTCCTCATATGAAAAAAGATTTTTTACTTTACTAACCATTTTCGTTAACACTTGGATGATTGATAGGAGTTAAAAAGTGTACCCTTGGTAGATTAATCGGATAAGTTTTACCCAATTGTAATTGTATTCTAACCGTACTTTTTTCAAAGATTTCCGAAGTAGGAAATATTTGTCCAACAATTGTATAATTTTCTGTCTCATCTGGCTCATCGTCGTCATCGTCGTCATCAGAAAATGGGGATTTTTCGAGTAAAAATCGAACAGATGCATCACTTTTACTCAAAAGTTTTAATCGGGTGACATCCAAATAAAAATTTCTGCTTGACTTCAAGTCAACTGCCTTGTTGTACTCTAGTAAAAGTTAACAAAGTTTATAAATCATCATTTATGTTGCACATACTCGAATTCAAATCTTCTCTTAATTTCGAAAATTCTGCTTCACTTAATTGCGTACTTCCAGTAGTAATAACCTTCTGATTCTCTTTATCTCTTTTGATATTATATCGACCATGCGCAATTGCCATGGTTTCATCCGTAATTTGTTTTGATGGGTGGATGAAAACTAAGCCATCGAATGTTGCTGTGTAAATGAAGTAGTTTTTGTGATTCTTATACTGAAATTCAGCAGCAACAGCATCACCAACAGATGATTCAGTCGAATATACATATTTCGATAAACTATTTTTCGCTGTCTGAATTAATTTATCTGGCTTTGTTGGTTGATTGTTTGGCATGATTTGGAAATATAATGAACCATGTTGAAATAAAACCCATTCTTTGTGTTGATCACCAAGAACTGTCAGCAAATAACGAATAGCATCGAGGAAGAAGATGCAGAAATCGTCTTCTGTTGCATCAGTCATGACAAATATACGAAAAATATGGAAACTAACGTTGCGATCAATATTTTCATGCAAACATACAGTGTGTTATATGTGGTGTCATAAAGAAAATACCAACGATAAGTTAACTTATCTTTTTTCGTTCTGATAAAATGTGTAATATGAGAAGCTTCGAAAAATATGTATTTATGAAAAAAAAGGAGCCTTTATCGTTAAGTCAATTGCGTATTCTATAATTCGCCATGTATTTGAGTGCTAGTCGTAAATTGTAGCTGAACGAAGATTTGTAAGATTAAGCTGGCAGATAAATTGCTGTAGAGTATTCACTCTTAAGGAAAGATAATGGAAACGTAGCTACATCTATCGAGAATATATTGAAGGAAACTATATATTATAAAGCTCCGTTTTTTGTTGCGGTCCTTTTCAATCACGGTTTCACAATTTCTCGACTAGTAACGAAATTTCATCCTCCTTGAATTTGATATTCGCTCTAGGTGGTACGAATCTTTCGCAATCATATAATTTTACTTATTCAAAGACGTCATATGTAATTACATGAAGATCCTAACCAGATTCCATGATATTTGGAAGCACTTCCGCAATAATATTCTATAAATACACGTTCCATCGTCATACACTAAAACGAACTTTACATCCAGTTTACTATCAAGCAGCAAACATGCCTATCTATTCAACACTATTGGTTCGCCTTCTATCGATTTCACACTGTTGTTCGCTTGATTCAAAAATGTCAACAGGTAAATATTATCAATCAGAAAGAGATAATTTTAATAATACATATGTCTTAGGACTTCAACGCAACAGAAATACAATCATTCGAAAATATGATTCAGAAATAAACACTTTTTGTGCAGCTGATGGTAGTGGCACAGCACACCTTGATTGGCAACATTTACGCATCGATGCTCATTCAAATTATGCACAAGGTTGTGGCGAACAATTCACACGATCATTATTGACCTTGGACGAAATCGACAGTTTACCATCCAACGCTGTCATAAAATCTGCTCAGATCAAACTATTTGGNTTCGCCAATTCAACTTGCAATACGTTTCTAACGGACATTCGAAATAATAGTGTGTTCTGTGAGCTCGATTGCATAATATATACGAAGAACAATACAAAATAAATTTTTGTCCTAGCCATCAACAAGAAAAATTCTGACGTTTACGAAATATACTCACCCATCAGTTACACTATTTGTTAAATTTTGCTTTTGTGATACACTTTTGTTTTAATCAATGAAGTAGGAAGAAAGCGATTCTCATTCTTTATTCTCTTTGGACATTCTAAAAGCACCTTCAGATTGAGAACAGTCACGAATCGTTTTGCTTTTCTTTCTCTCCAGATAGAAGTTACACTACTTTTGCATAAAAAATCATTCGTTTATTTAAATCATTCTTCATTACTTCATATATCCTAATGAAGCCATCTTAGACAAGGATATATTCCGGTTACATGAATTGTACGTTGCGGATTATTACAACTTCATTCGTTCGAAATCGACTTTATTTCTATTGACATTGACTATATTTTCAAATATAACAAAGCGTCATTCTCATGTTTGTGTAACCACGATTCTTTTTCGGTCAAATAACAATAGTTTGGTCTGGATGCGGATGTTTCCTGAGAGGTTTGAATAATCGACAACATTGCTCACGGTAAACCTTTCCAGACAAAATATGAAGAAAAAATGAAATAAAATAATCACATTGCGTCCATATAAGACAAATATATCGTATAGCAATTATAGTCGGTGTACGTGTCGCTGTATTTAATACATTTAAACAGTAGATCACACCGAACGGAGTGGTTAGAATTATATGAACAAATATTTGAAGAATTAGCATACGTGCCAACTGTCCTTCTGTTCGACGAGTGGACGTCGTTGGACCGTTTTGTATTCCTGTACGGATAGAATGTTTACGAATATTAACAATAGTCAGAAGTCCAAAAGTGAGTATGAATATTGGCCCCAACATGTAGTAACTAATGACTTGAGAAAACGTATAAATATTGGCTGGTAAAGTGGTGTATAGCCGGCATATTCCAGTTGTTGAGTCAAAGTAATAAATGAAAAACATAGGTAACATGTATACAGAGCCCAATATCGTACTGATAACAATCTTTATACGAGCTTTTCGTTTCGTACTTGCTGAATTTAATCGACGGGATTTTGAACTAGAACAATATCGATCAAATGATACTAAAACAAGCATTATTCGAGCAAGTATTGGTGGCGAGAATATGATGTAAAAGTATATATTACATCCTACCGATGTATTCTCCCATCCAATCCACAAAGCACGTATAACTTGTGTTGGACATATCAAACAAGTATAAATAATGCTCAGAATTGCGTAAGCAATGAAATAATGCGAGCAAGGTGAACTACGAAGAGCATTGGATGCGAGGATGCGAATACTGAAACTATTTGTGACTAAAACTAATGTGAATAGTATGGGTTGAATATAAATATTTGATTTTAAAACTTGATCGTATAATGCACTCATGTTGATCAAATTGTAGAAAGTATCTTCAATCCGAATTTCAGTGTCGATGGAGAGAACAAAAATTATGTGCCTTCTTGCTGAATTATTAGTAGAAAAATGTTAAAGAAAAGTATGTTGAAGAACTTGATAAAGAAGAGAAGAAAAAGAACTTCAGTGAAGCGTTTAAAGTACATCATCGCTGATGATCAAGTACAAACGTTGAAAAGTTTATAATAATATAATAACTATGGAAATCCAACACTATTTTCTGTCCTGGAATTATCTAAAATAATAGAATAGATGTTTGAACGATCGTTTCAGACAAAATTGAAACGATAGATTTTATATGAGCGCTGTAGAAGGTTGGGAATCAAACTGATATTTATAGAAATGTCACACACAGAAGAGTTCAATACAACATTTTTATAACATAAATGATGTCTAGACATATTTCCATCAATGTTTTTTTTCTGTGCACTAACAGTGAGATCGATATGATCGTGTTAGCAAGAGAAAATTGTGACTTATCCTTTTCTTTTAATTTGTGCGTGCTTTTCTAATTGTCACCCTTCTCGTGCGAACCAGCTGTGACGTTTTCATCTTCTCAGGCTCTTAACCTATCTCAAATAAACATGCATCAAAGAAAATGTAAGATAGGCAAAAATAGAAAGAGAGTTGTTAGATTGATTTACCGTATTAGACGATAATAGATATTTTTTTGAATGATTCTTTTATCATCTTCCATCAATTATTTTTACCATAATGTATTCCATCGTACTTCAAGCAAGCATATGGCCACAGCTTGCATTCGGATCAATAATAAGATTTTCTTTTCAACAGTTCTATGTCATCCGAGACTGAGGTTAGCAAGTAAAGGACAAACAAAGATATAGACAAAAATCACTCTTATCATTAATGAAAAATTCCAATAAATACTGTCTTTACCGATGGGTCGAATGATTTTTTCCAAGACGTATTTTCAATGGTAAAATTAAATGACCATCTCATCGTGTGCTGTAAATGAATATTTTTTAGTTAAGTGAATGCTATCAAGAAAGTTCTTATATTGATGAAATCTTGTATTTATTGTGTTTCTCATACACTTGAAAAAAAAACATCACCTTTTTTTTCATATAGTCATTTATTATACATCAATAGAAATAGTCTTCATCACGAATCACGACTACTTCATTCCCGTATATGGTTCGATATTTTGAATATCTACACCCGTGAAACAACCATCTGCACAAAATAACGGGTCGTATCCACATAATGATAAAAGATTGTGATTATTTTCATCGACATCCAACATTATAGAATATTCCTCTCCGTGTTGCCCAAAAGGTTCATTTAACCAATTCAAACACGATGAGTAGATTTTATCCAGCGTTTGCTTTTCACCCTCGTTCCAGCCTTCATCGTGTGAATATAACTGAGCTTGATTTTCATACCAATCCTTTGTTTTACGAGCAACAACCTAAAAGTAACACAGTTAAGTAGTGAAGAGTCATTTTCATGCGCGAGATTTGTTCAATCAGTCTAAATCAATACTTCAAGATATTTTCCATACTAACCTCCCCATTTCGGACAAATATGGTCAGTGAAGTGGGTGCCAGATATGCTATCTGCCGTGAGAGTGTGTATTGATAAGAATTGTGCCATAGTGTTCGCATACGTTGCCATTGTTGCAAACTACTTCTGAATTTTTGCTTCATTTCTTCCGGAATCTCTGAATAAGACAATGAGGAAATACTCAGCAGAGATCTGTTTATTCGTCGTACATTATGAGCATGAGTTATGCAGAAAAACGTGATGATTGCTAAGAATCGAAATGTTGAACTGAAGAAAAATAAAATATTTAATATAACTGAGGAATGTCAATTTACGTACTTCATTTTAAGAGGATGAATGGAATTGCTTAGATATATAGATATGCTTTTCTGTCGCTGTTTATATATGTTTAATGAGAGAGGATGTTAACAAAGAAGTTAACCTTCTCACCAATGAATATTCTCTCATTGATCTAAAGGTCATGGGAAAAAAATGACAAAGAAAGAAAAATAAATCATATCCTGTCTAAAAACAAAAGATAAGAATTTTCTTTAGGGGATCGAATGATGCAGAATAAATCATATGCTATGCCTACGATATTAATATATGGATTAGAAAACGAATTCGTATCTAGATCTATATCAGAGATGGAACCCAACAGATTTTTTCCATCCGGTCTGGTCCAGTCAAATTAATTTTGGTGTCAAACTGGCAGGAATCCAGCAGGGTTATAAGTGTATATTATAGTATTTTAGTTAAGGTAATAAGAAAAATCAGTTTTTTAAGCAGTACATCGACCTGATCTTTTTCTCATCGATGTTAATCGAATTATGAATAAAAGCGGCCACGATTAAATAAAATTACGGCTGTGCATGTCAATGAATTGCAACAAATATTTTGGTTATATGTTCCTTTTTCAACTGGAACATTTAGCAATTTCTGACAAGATATTTCAAATAAAAAGCGATGACAGACGTTTTTTTGTAAAAAAATTGAAATTCAAGTAGAATTCTCAAATATTAAAACTGGTAAAAATAAAATCCGGTTTGATTTTTAGCTCGGTCTTGTCTGGTCCGGTCGGGTCGGAGTCCGGTTGCCGAACTGGTTCAAACTCTGACATGAATCACTTCGAACGAAACTTCCATTACAACATCCAGATCATGATCCTTGCCAAAATAACCAATATTGACATATTGTGGTGATTTGTTTTTTAAATGCTCCATTTCAATAATTGAGGAAAATGTCAATATTCTGATGATTCGAGTTAGCTACGATGATATCCAACGATTGATTATTGTTTAGATCTCCGACAACAATCGATGGTGGGTTGGAATTATGAATGGTCGAATAAAGAATGTGATCTTGAAATGTTCCATTTCCATAATTGAAAAATATTCCAATGTTATTCGTACCATAATTAGCAACAGCAATGTCTAAATAAGAATCATTATTAAAATGATTGACAACGACTGAGAAGGGTTGAGATTATATTGAGGGTGTGAGGGTGAAAAATTCGATGATTGGATTAGATAGAGGTCATCGAGCTTGATCTGGACCCAGCATGATTGAAGTTATAACTGGCTCAGAAGCGAATCTGTCCAAGGTTTTGCAAGATTTAGTTTTTTTTCGATGTTTTTGGACTTTTAGGGGATGAAGGGAATGTATTTTTGAGAATATTTTTTTGGAACCGATAGAGTTGAGCCAGTTCTACTTGGACCTAGTGTGATCATAGTTGGAACGCGCTCTCATGCGAACTGACTGTAGAAAAAGTCGAATCCGGAGCCATGATACCCCACGTCGATCAGAACTAGTGACAGTCAGGTGGATGATATTACGCAATGTCCAAGTAAATAGTCCAAATTGTTTCTTAACAGAGCATTCTTTCTTATCGTCTACGTCAGTGGCGTAACCAGGAATTTTATAAGGGGTGTGGATGCTAGCAAAGAAAGTTTTGGATCCTACGAATAGAATCGTCATTCCTGTACTCCCCTTCAGTCATTTTTTCTCCAAGGGGGGTGCCCGTGCCCCTAGGGCACTCTCCTCCTGGCTACGCCTCTGGTCTATGTGTAGATGTATGATGAAATGAGAAGGCAACGATTTATCTCTCAGCATTCCTCTTTCGATTTTTTCTATTCACGCATTCTTTTCGTATAAGCAGCTGAATAGCACATGAATTTCTTGTCGATATTCTTTCTCTCTTAAATATTTATTTTTCGACGTTTTCCTCTCTTGGGATTTTTCTATTTCGCCAATTTCCTTTCGATACTTTCCTTTCGGCATTTTCCACTTTATGTATCAATCCTTTTCGGCTGTGCCTTTCGACATTTTATTTTTCTGCGTTAACCATCAATTTGGTCATACGTACATGAAAATGATAACCAGATTCCATGATATTTGCAAGCACTTCCGCAATAATATTCTATAAATACGCGTTCCATAGTCATGCTAAACCGAACTTTACATCCAGTTTACTTTCAAGAAGCAAATATGTCGGTATATTCAATACTATTGGTACGCTCTCCTTCTAGCAATTTCCTACTGTTGTTGTCGTGATCCAAAGGCATCAACAAGTACATATTATCAATTAGAAGAGAATAGTTTTGATAGAATGAATATATTTTAGACGTTGAATGGAACAGGAATACAATCATTCGAAAATATGATTCAGAAATAAACACTTTTTGTGCAGCTGATGGTAGTGGCACAGCACACCTTGATTGGCAACATTTACGCATCGATGCTCATTCAAATTATGCACAAGGTTGTGGCGAACAATTCACACGATCATTATTGACCTTGAACGAAATCGACAGTTTACCATCCAACGCTGTCATAAAATCTGCTCAGATCAAACTATTTGGCTATCGTTCTGAAGAATTCGAAGCATATTCTTTTACCGACGGATCAACTGTTACCAACGAAGTATTCATCAAATGGATTCTGACTGAATGGGACGCTAATACGGTGACATGGATGACACAACCAAGTACGACTAATGTCAATGCAGCCATGATTCCAAGCACACAACCAACTTTCCCGGGCACATTAGTGAATACGAAATCGTACAATTTTACAATTGATATTACACAACTCGTTCGTGATATCCAATCGAGTGGACCATGAAATAATCACGGTGTTATGTTTCAAATGAAAACAGAAGAGAAATATCGAGCTATGGTCTTTTGTTCATTCAATCATCCGGATGTTCAACGACATCCACAGATTGTAATCGACATTGAACCTTCATCAACTTCAGGTTTCGTAAAAAACTCCTGTGTTTTCTTCTTACTGTTTTTGTCATCTACTATTTTTTCAAGTTTGTATTAAACCATTCGTTCGAGATCTCGTCAACATACTCGTAACTGTAATAATTATCTTGAAGATTCGTTTTTATTTGATGCCAAAGGTGATACATAAATTATCAAGACCAACATGCAATATTGCTGATCCTGATGCTTGCATGACAATTTTATTTAGTCCTAGCCAATTAAATACTTGTAAAACTGCTGAATAGGTATTCAATAGAACTGTAATTGTGTATAGTTGTGTATTTGAATAATAACCAGTAATTGTCAAATTGGTCGAGTTTGACCAACCCGCTGCCATTCGGCAAGAATTGAGTGTTACTGTATTGGTTTCTACCGGTGTTTCTATTTTGAGAGTAGTGTCGAAGCATAATGCATATACACCAGAACCACAGACGTAATGATAACCTGAACTGGGGAATTCACTTGTATTTATATACGATGAAGAGGTCCAATTCAGTCCGCCATAATTTGATGGTATAGGTCCTTGAGAGTCATCTGCGTTTGGAATATCATCAAAAGTCAGAGGTATTCCACCGGACGTACACACTAGAACACAACAACATTTTATCCGGCATACCGTCCTTATCCATCGACTTACAGACGTTGGTTGTTGTTGTAGCTGTAGTTGTTGAAGTTGTCGTGGGTTCTATGTACGAAAGGCAAAGCCCAACTGTCTTAGAAAATCTCACGAACAAAAAGAGACTGATTTTATTCATACTGACCTCGTGGTATTCTCGTCTCANAAAAGCGGCCACGATTAAATAAAATTACGGCTGTGCATGTCAATGAATTGCAACAAATATTTTGGTTATATGTTCCTTTTTCAACTGGAACATTTAGCAATTTCTGACAAGATATTTCAAATAAAAAGCGATGACAGACGTTTTTTGTAAAAAAATTGAAATTCAAGTAGAATTTCTCAAATATTAAAACTGGTAAAAATAAAATCCGGTTTGATTTTTCGCTCGGTCTTGTCTGGTCCGGTCGGGTCGGAGTTCGGCTGCCGAACTGGTTCAAACTCTGATATGAATCACCTCGAACAAAACTTCCATTACAACATCCAGATCATAGTCCTTGCCAAAATAACCAATATTGACATATTGTGGTGATTTGTTTTTTTGAATGCTCCATTTCAATAATTGAGGAAAATGTCAATATTCTGATGATTCGAGTTAGCTACGATGATATCCAACGATTGATCATTGTTTAGATCTCCGACAACAATCGACGATGGGTTGGAATTATGAATGGTCGAATAAAGAATGTGATCTTGAAATGTTCCATTTCCATAATTGAAACATATTCCAATGTTATTCGTACCATAATTAGCAACAGCAATGCCTAAATAAGAATCATTGTTAAAATGATTGACAACGACTGAGAAGGGTTGAGATTATATTGAGGGTTTGAGGGTGAAAAATTCGATGATTGGATTAGATAGAGGTCATCGAGCTTGATCCGGACCCAGCATGATTGAAGTTATAACTGGTTCAGAAGCGAATCTGTCCAAGGTTTTGCAAGATTTAGTTTTTTTCGATGTTTTTGGACTTTTAGAGGATGAAGGGAATGTATTTTTGAGAATATTTTTTTGGAACCGATAGACTTCAGCCAGTTCTACTTGGACCTAGTGTGATCATAGTTGGAACCCAGGCAAAGAAAAGCATAGTGTAATGCCATTAAAATGTCTCTAGTTTTGCACAATTATAATGATGTGAAACTGTCACAAAAAATGCTCAAAAAATGATGTTCCTTATAATCATTAAAATACTGCTCTTTGAACATGTAAAACTTATTCAACTGGCAACATGCTAATTACCATGACACCGATCATTATTTTATGATTATGTCGCAACGTTATTTTCGTTTTTCAACATTCATAATAACTATTTCACCAAGATTCTAAAAACAATTATTGTAAAAGCATTTCCTCTCGTAAAAATGTTTCTTTTCACTACGAATTTCATGATATACATGAAGCGGCATACTCAGAGTATTGTAAACGCGCTCTGATACTGTTGTCAACTCGTGTGGTGAGAATTTTCATCAAGCGGCAGATAAAAATAATTCTTTTTGTTATTCAAGCTCTTTAACGAACTCTACTTCACATATACATTTATTCGAGCTCAAAACAATACATGAACAGATACTACAATACATTTCACCCTTTTTACCTGAATCATTTGATATGTAAACCGAGCTCACTAAGTTCATCAAGTTGGAAACTTTTGTTAGTGCAAAATACGAGGTGTGTCAGTTCGAGTAGTGTGTAAGCTGATGAACTTAGTGAGCTCGGTTTACATATCAAATGATTCAGGTAAAAAGGGTGAAATGTATTGTAGTATCTGTTCATGTATTGTTTTGAGCTCGAATAAATGTATATGTGAAGTAGAGTTCGTNAGAACCGTGGAAGTAAATATAATTGCACGACGTCCAAATTTTTCAGCAATATATGTCGAAATAAAAAGGGCACCAAGAAAGCACCCGAGATTATACATCAATGTGAAAAGTACCAAGAATCTTCGATAATCAGCAGGAAGAGCAGCTGCGGTAAGATCACAAACACTTTTATTTCCATAGATTCCTACGCAAAAATCGTTCTTAAATGAACTCATGATAACTATACCACCAGTAACACCTTGATCATAACCAAAAAACCATCCGCCCAATGCAGAAAAACCAGCCAGTAAGACAGCGAAATGCGGTTTTCCATATTGAATGTTCGTATGATGAATATGATGAATCGTTTGACTCGGGGTCTTTCGTTTACTATAATCGCTTAACAGATGAACTTGATTTGCTTCACTGTCATCGGAAGCTATGTCTAAGTTGTTTTCGTGCTCTGACACCTTGCTGCTCGTACGAGGAGGAAGTTCTTGAAGTTCGTAATCGACTTTCATTGTGGTAAACTTCGTACGCCTTTTAGTGAATCAAAACTTTAATAGCATGATGTTTTGTTTCGTATATGTCAAGGCGATAAGAGCCATGTCATAAAAGAAAAGAGAACAAGCAGGTATAAAGATAATATTGAATCGAGAAAGAATAGATAAATTGTCCTTGTAGAAGAAATATATTCTGGAGTAATAAGAACAACAACGAAAAATAAAAAAGAAATAAGATTCAAGGACATTATTGAGGATGAGGGTGAGAATCATCTATTTATCTACTCTCAAATCGGCTTATCAATAACTAACATCTAATTACTACGCCGCGGTTGATCAATCGATAACTTGGACAACAAAGATATGGTCAGTACAATTGATAACAGTGAAAAAGAATTTTGAATGCCATTAACAATAGCTGTCTGCTCCCTTGTGGATATGACTGAAACCTGAACTGTCCTGTGCTTCTTCAAACCATCCTTGTCATTTATCAAATGCTTCGATTTGATCTGGTTACTAGTTATACAAGCATATGAGGATCAAGACGATCATCAACTGCACATTCACAGTACATCTGTATCGATAAAAAGTGGAGGGGCGCCTGCTAGTCTCGCCAGGAATTCATACAAAGCTATTAGTTCAGCATATCCGACATTGTTGAAGAAAATCACACCAGTCATCATCAATAATTATCGTGAGTCACAATGGAAAGTTCTTCAATATTAGCTCAACAGTCGTCTCATCAAATCTGTGATGAGGTGAAAATGTATTAGATGAATGCTGTGCGTTATATTCATTTTGATTTCAAGAAGTTCTACTCAGTGTGTTGATCCATTCAAATGACACAGCGACGTGCTCAGTTGCGATTATTCAGTTATACGAAACAGATATTCTTGCAGATAATGAATATTCACACATACTGAAATTGATTGAGAACAAATTATTCAACTTCAAGTATATGGAAAGATCCGAGTGTTTACAAAAGTGAAAATATCATCGGAGTTGATGTATTGTTTGATAACAAGTCTTCATTTAGTGGAACTTATTATGCAAGTTGTAGACTAGTGGAAACATTTGTAATTGACTCGGTTTTGTTGCATGCTCTAATCTCTGATATGAGAAAATAAGATCTCGTTCGATCGACAATGAAATAGTCGCGCCTGTATGATCATAAAGAAGTACCTGAGTTTAATACAATTAACTCATCTAGAGTTGAAAACATTCCTTAATGAGAAAGCGACGTTCTAGAAAAACGAATCGAATCTAACGATTGAACTTCAGCCAAATCAACAAACAGAATATCGATCCATAGATTTGATTGTCATTCAGTCTCCGGTAGCCGGCGAACTGAATCGATCGAGTTTTGCTGAAGCATTCCATCCATTGTATTCAGATAACTCGATTGAATTTACTACAAGACAACATGTAGCGTGTCCGGTTGAAAATTCAAATAATATACAACTTATTCTCGCTGAAATGGGCACTAACAACGATGATGACGTTTCCATGGATAGTTCGTAATTGATTTCATCGTGCTATTCTGCGAATCAACGAAGTATTTTACTTGATGTTTGATCAGAACTCATTGCTTTTAATAAATGTCCGACTTAAGGTAATAATATCATATCATAGCTATAGTGCCAGAGGATAGTGACAAAGAACGATCGAATCCGGAAACAAAAGATGTATTTCTTTTCCCCTCATTTCAGCGACGTATCCAGGATTTTATTGATGTACTAAACAAAATTCTGATAGCATACAAAAGAAAATGTAAAATGCGTAAGACATATCAAACTCGAATCATAGGCGTAAGTCTGCTGTGTCGCGGTCTATTTTTCAAATTTAAATGAGCTAAGCATTCATGTAAAAAACGACGAAAAAAGAAATCTGATTATCAGTTATCTGTTTCTTAACTGAAAGCCAATTAACAGCTTACGAAAAACAAGATAAAGAATTTCAGTGGGGGCAATTGCTCATTTGCCCTCCCTCTGATTATACATCACTGTTGCGGTTCTTTATAAATGGGAATGATATGATTCAATAAATTTCTTTTGTTACTGTCAACGTACAGATACGACGTTAGATTGCTTCACGGCTTTGACGTCACATGGGAAGAAAATGAAACAATAATAATAACAACAACAACATTTTGGCACAGGAACAAATATCACCAAAAACAAAAATCGAAAGAAAAAAAGCATCGACCACGCTTGCATTTTCGTATTGGTCTTTTATTTTCTCCTACACAATATGGGAGAAAAACATGCGTGTAGTATTTAAACCTTTTTCTATCTGTCACGGTTCAGTAAAAGAAAGTAATTTATCATTTCATTCTAAAACATTTACTCGTATCGATATTTTTAGGAGGTGACTTATTCTAACTCTATTACTTTTGATATTTATTACAGAAATTTTGCCTACAGATTAACAAAATATGTCGACGTCGGCTCAATACAAAAAGATTGTTGAAACCATGACTGATGCATTAAACAAACACAATATCGATGAATTCCTGACGCATTATGGCGATAACTGTGAAGTCATTCGTGATGGCCAATGTGTTATTCGATCGAAAGACGAATTTAAAAAGTATGCGGAAGAACGGTTCTCGAATCCAGATGCCAAAGCTAATTTGGTTGAATTTTTACCAAGTGAAAGCGATGATCGCATACGTTTTATAGTAGAACACAAAGACAAAAAGCGCTATGAACAAACATGCGTGTTTTCGAAGGAAGGGAAAGTTGTTCAAGTACATCTCAAGAGTTTGAACAACAATTAATAGACTTAACATTGATCAAGCTGACTGCTTTTACTTTCATACTCATTTCTATACTTTTATACGTGAAAACATCAAATGAATAAACGTGTGTTGAGGGTGAGCGTGTATTTCGAAAAAGACCTGAACATTTGATATCAAACTGTATCGGACAGTTTTACTTTCAGTTGTCTTCATGATTAACTGATTTTCTAATACAAAACAAAATCCTACAAAACGTTTTCGTTTGATAATATCAAGGTTAAATCTCCATTTCTGCTGTTTTATAACGCACTTATATGTGCGTCATATCATTCAAACTCCAAAAACTCCTTTGAGTTATAAAATGTCAGTCAATCGTGCATCTTACCATCGCACACAATAAAACAAAATCAACAAGAATCGCGCAGAGATGAATGATTATCAACAACAACATTCGTTGATTGTTCCATCGACTCCTATCAACGATATTACTGATATAAAGGATCGTCGCAGTTCGTCTCTCGCTGTTGTCATTGAGCCGATCATCGTAGCAACAGAAGAAATTCCTGATGATAGCGAAGTCGTCAATAGACCGAAATCATTCCCGCTATCTGGTATTCTCTACGGTCTTTTAGGAAGTTTTCTTTTTGTTACTGCGACATTCACCGTCAAAGAATTAGGAATCGATCTACTCGATGCACTTATTATTCGTTTCATCATCCAACTTATTCTCTTAATATGCTTTGTTATTTCTCGCCGTTATTCAATCTGGCGAGGTACATTAAAAGAAAAATGTTTACAAATCGTTCTATGCATTTGTAATGGTCTAATTTTTCTCGCATATTTTATTGGTATCCGTTACCTGCCTTTTTCTGACTTTACCACACTGAATTTTACACGTTTATTATGGACAGTTACCTTTGGCGTATTGATCTATAGGGAAAAACCCACTGTCATGATCATTCTAGCTGTTGTTTTTACACTTTTTGGTGTGACATTTGTTGCGCAACCGACATTTCTCTTCAAACAGAAGATTATCATCGAAAATACATCATCAACAGATCCGACTTCGATGAACTACCGAACGCTTGGCATTTCTCTCGCATTGATAACTGGTCTTTTCTCTGCTATTAATCTCTTAATTTTCAAACAATTGTTAACATTACAACTGAAACCGAGTGTTTTAATTCTTCAGCATTCGCTTGTTTTCCTTCTGTGTATGATGTTCAATCAAGCTTACAAATATTTTCTACTCGATGACATAACGTTCTTCACAGCGACAATCTTCCAATGGAAATACTGGTTAGCCGGATTGATTAGTCTTCTTCAAACATTAGCAGTTATTGTCGGAAATCGTTCAGTGAAACGCGAACCGCCATCGATCGTTACGATTGTTTCAGCGTCCGAAATCATCTATGCGATTGTCTTACAGAATTTATTTACAAGAAATAAGTCGAACATATGGGTTGTGATTGGAAGTTTAATGGTGGTATCTAGTGTTCTACTTATTGGCGTACATAAATTTGCACAAGAGCGAAAGAAGAAGAAGAAAAACGTTGAGAATGATAAAAGTGAAGGAAGCGCTTGAGAAACTGTTGAGACTTTGTTTTGTTCTTAAAAAATTTACATCAATAATAGCTCTGCTTGTTTTCGCTCGAATCTAAAATGCTTCAATAGTCAAACTACTCATATTTCGAGGCAAAAGTTGATGAAAGTTTTCAGAATCGCCTGCCTGTCCTGGAGTAGAAGCATGCTCAATTACATCGTCGGTACGGATTGCATCCTGAAAATTAGCATTTCATGCCGCATTAAAAAAATCTATTCTAGAGTGTGATCATCAATGGAAACAGAAAAAAAGATGATTACATTGATGACGTCAAACGTTTTTGTGCCATAGAGTGTATAAACAATTCTAGAGATTTTTAAACTTTGATACGAACTCTTTCAGTTTATATTTGGAAGAAAATCGATATTTCTATTGTTTGTATCAGACGGGCAGGTATGTTAGCTTTTTTGCAACGTCTACACGAATTTGAAGGTATACTCCCTAGCAGATGATGACGTCCATTTCAAAATACACATTTTATCTCGCCTGAGTTTGTTAAAATTAGTTGCACTTTTGGAATTAATGAGCTAAATTCATGCGCATTACAGATCTCATAACGCTCATATACATTAGTTTCTCTCTCAAGTCAGTGAGTATATATAATTGAAAGAGTGTCCAATGTTCACATTGTCAAAAACCATACTGCAATCATCTCGTTTAGTATTGTTTGAATAGTAAACGTGCAGAACTATGCCCGTGTCATATCCGATTCGCTCTTTGTTATATCTCATCTTTCTGATTCCATCTGTCATATGTGCCATCTTTTGTCTTTATCATTTCATTACTAATCGAGCACTTCGCAACGCTCTGAACAATCATGTTGTCATTTTCATTCTTGGTTTTGGTGTTTTTCTCAATATGACGGATATGATTTGGTTTATTGATTTCTATCGCACTCGCCGTGTTCCAATATTTACACGAGCATTCTGTTTTACATGGGCATATATTGATTATGCTGTGTTTGTAGTCATCACATTACTAGTAGCCTGGGCATCAATTGAACGACATATTCTCATCTTTCACCATAATCTCACTGCAACGCCTATAAAGCGGTTTTTTCTACACTATTTACCAATGGCTATCTGCGTTGTTTATCCGCTTGCGTACTATTTCGTTATCTATTTTGTTCTGCCTTGTGAAATCGTTCTCAAAGAAACTCGAATAGGGTGTGGTGTTTTAGATTGTGCACAGAGCATTACTGCTGTTGGCGTGTGGGATAGTCTTGCACATAATGTCGTGCCAATATGTATGATTGCTATCTTCAGTCTAGCGCTTTTGGCACGGGTATGGTATAGTAAATACCGAGCGCACCAAAGAATTNAGAACCGTGGAAGTAAATATAATTGCACGACGTCCAAATTTTTCAGCAATATATGTCGAAATAAAAAGGGCACCAAGAAAGCACCCGAGATTATACATCAATGTGAAAAGTACCAAGAATCGTCGATAATCAGCAGGAAGAGCAGCTGCGGTAAGATCACAAACACTCTTATTTCCATAGATTCCTACGCAAAAATCGTTCTTAAATGAACTCATGATAACTATACCACCAGTAACACCTTGATCATAACCAAAAAACCATCCACCCAATGCAGAAAAACCAGCCAGTAAGACGGCGAAATGCGGTTTTCCGTATTGAATGTTCGTATGATGAATATGATGAATCGTTTGACTCGGCGTCTTTCGTTTACTATAATCACTTAACAGATGAACTTGATTTGCTTCACTGTCATCTGAAGCTATGTCTAAGCTGTTTTCGTGTTCTGACATCTTGCTGCTCGTACGAGGAGGAAGTTCTTGAAGTTCGTAATCGACTTTCATTGTGGTAAACTTCGTACGTCTTTTAGTGAATCAAAACTTTAATAGCATCATGTTTTGTTTCGTATGTGTCAAGGCGATAAAGAGCCATGTCATAAAAGAAAAGAGAACAAGCAGGTATAAAGATAATATTGAGTCAAGAAAGAATAGGCAAATTGTCCTTGTAGAAGGAATATATTTTAAAGTAATAAGAACAACAACGAAAAATAAAAGAAATAAGATTCAAGGACATTCTTGAGAGTGAGGGTGAGAATCATCCATTTAACTACTTTTAGATCCGCTTATCAATAACAAACATCTAATTACTACGCCGCGGTTGATCAATCGTTAACGTGGACAACAAAGATATGGTTACTATAATTAATAAGAGTGAAAAAGAATTTTGAATGCCATTAACAATGAATGAAGCGTTTAATCATATATAGTATTAAAGCGAGAGGCAATATAAATCATTCTTACGAAATGAACTGCTATGAAGACGGAGTAATCACATGTTGAATTACAAAAGTTGATTGTAATTATATAGGTCAGTTTTCTGCGATAATTCAGGATCATTGGAGCTGTCTGTTCTCTTGTGGATATGACTGAAACCTGAACGGTACTATACTTCTTCAAACCATCAGGAATTCATACAAAATTAGTAGTTCAGTATATCCGACATTGTTGAAGAAAATCAAGTGGAAGCACATAGTTATATTTTCTGGATATGATTTATGATCTGGTCGTGGGACATGACGTGCTATATCTTTAATAAAAACACTCTCTTTATCATTGTTCGTTGCCGTACTTCATACTTATTGAATAATTTGTGGGTAGGTTACATCGTGCCGGACGTGCAAGTAACTGTAAAGTCAGCCGTAACACCCTCCCATTGAAACTAAAAAAAAGTACAGAAAAACGTACAAATTTCCTTCAAGCGCTTTCAAATATTACACCCTACTACTCTCGAATTCAGATGCTCAGGTCAAACTGATTGAATATTTACCTATTGAAAGCGATGATCGCATTCGTTTTATCACTGAGAATGTAAACAAGAAACGGTACGACGAGACGTTCATGTTTGCAAAAGAAGGGAAAATTCCTCAACTGCTAGTCATTTAATAAAACACTCAGTGAATTGATTTATTCGACGCTGTGGAAAAGAGTCAAAAACTAGTGTAATCGTATTTAGTAATTTTCTATTAGTTAGAAGAAAGGCAGATGAAAAAGCGATGAACTTAGCTAAACTCGAAATGTATTGTTTTCGGTACAAAAGAAAGTGAGATTGTTCTTTTACAAGCATTCGAACATGTCAGACGACAAACATTGCGGAAATTAACGAAAATGAAGGAAGACGAAAAATTTGCAGATGTTGATTGGACGAACTTAACCGAATACTTGCCTGACAAACTATTGGAAGAATTAGATGAAGAAAATCACACAAATCATCATCAACAATTGTCAAGAACAACAGATGAAATTTCTACAATATCTGCGCGACAATCATTTCATCAGAATGCTCTCGATCGTTGGAAGAAGGGGAAATTTCGTTCCACCGATAATTGATGATAATCAACATGATAAAAATATTCGTAATGAATTAATCACTCGTTTCCTTACAGCGATGGCGATTGATTATGAGAAACAATGGTATTTGGGTATGATTCGTCGAAAAACACTCAACATTCTCATCAAATCTGTGATGAGGTGAAAATGTATTAGATGAATGCTGTGCGTATTCTTTTTGATTTAAAGAAATCCTACTCACTGTGTTGATCCATTCAAATGACACAGCGATGTGCTCAGAACAGATATTCTTGCAGAAAATGAATATTTACACATATTGAAATTGGTTGAGAACAAATTATTCAACTTCAAGTATGGAAAGATCCGAGTGTTTACAAATCAAGATAAAAATGGCACATCAACCACTTATTACAAAAGTGGAAATATCATCGGAGTTGATGTATTGTTTGATGACAAATCTTCATTTAGTGGAATTTATTATACAAGTTGTGAACTGGTGGAAACATTTGTGATTGACTCGGTTTTGTTGCATACTTTACTATCTGATGAGAAAATATCTCGTTCGATCGACAATTAAATAGTCGCGCATGTGATCATAAGTACCGAAGTCTAATACAATTAATTCATCCAGATTTGAAAACATTCCTTAATGGGAAAGCGAGGTTTTATAAAAATGAATCGAATGTAACGATTGAACTGTAACCAAATCAACAAACAGAATATCGATTAATGGATTGGATTGTCATTCAGTCTCCGATAGCCTGCGAACTGAATTCATCGAGTTTTGTTTACACATGAGGGTGGATGAGGAAGAGTTATCTTCTTTCGATTGCTAAAACGATGAAAACCAGCTCTCAACGGCAAATACTGACACGAATTTTATTGAACCATTTCATCCATTGTATTCAGATAACTCGATTGAATATATTACAACACAACATGTAGCATATCCGGTTGAAAATTCAAATAATATACAACTGGTTCTCGCTGAAATGGATACTAACAATGACGATGACGTTCCCTTGCATAGCTCTTACTTGATTTTACCGTGCTATTTTGCGAATCAACAAAGTATTTTACTTGATGTTTGATCAGAACTCATTACTTTTAATAAATGTCCGACTTAAGGTAATTTATTGAAGATAAAATCAATGACATCAAGCACCACTGGAATAATACACTTTGTCATAGTATCATATCATAGCTATTAATCCCAGAGAGTAGTGACAAAGAACGATCGAATCCGGAAACAAAAGATGTATTTCTTTTCCTCTCATTTCAGCGACGTAACTAGGATTTTATTGATGGGCTAAACAAAATTCTGATAGGATAAAAAGGAAAATGTAAAATGCGTGAGACATATATCAAACTCAGACCATAAGCATAAGTCTACTATATCACAGTCTATTTTTCAAATTTAAATGACCTAATCATCCATGTAAAAAACAACGAAAAAAAAATCTGATTATCAGTTATCTGTTTCTTAACTGAAAGTCAATTAATAGCTTACGAAAAACCAGATAAAGAATTTCAATGGGCAATTGCTCATTTGGCCTCCCTCCGGTTACGTCACTGTTGTGTTTCTTTATAAATGGGGCTGATATAATTCAATAGACTTCTTTTGTTACTGTCAACGTACAGATACGACGTTAGATTGCTTCAAGGCTTTGACGTCACATGGGAAGAACATGAAATAAGAATAACAACAACATTTTAGCACAGGAACAAATATTACCAAAAACAAAAATCCAAAGAAAAAAAAGCATCGACCACGTTTGCATTTTCCTATTGGTCTTTTCTTTTCTCCTACACGATATGGGAGAAAAACATGCGTGTAGTATTTATACCTTTTTCTATCTGTCACGGTTCAGTAAAAGAAAGTAATTTATCATTTCATCCTAACACATTTACTCGTATCGATATTTTTAGGAGGTGGTTTATTCTAACTCGATTACTTTTGATATTTATTATAGAAATTTTGCCTACAGATTAACAAAATATGTCGACGTCGGCTCAGTACAAAAAGATTGTTGAAACCATGACTGATGCATTAAACAAACACAATATCGATGAATTTCTGACACATTATGGCGATAATTGTGAAGTCATTCGTGATGGTCAATGTGTTATTCGATCGAAAGACGAATTTAAAAAGTATGCGGAAGAACGGTTCTCGAATCCAGATGCCAAAGCTGATTTGGTTGAATTTCTACCAAGCGAAGGCGATGATCGCATACGTTTTATAATAGAACACAAAGACAAAAAGCGCTATGAACAAACATGCGTGTTTTCAAAGGAAGGAAAAGTTGTTGAAGTACATCTCAAGAGTTTGAACAACAATTAATAGACTTAACATTAATCCATCTGACTGCTTTTACTTTCATATTCATTTTTATTTTTTTATACGTGAAAACATCAAAGGAATAAAGGGTGTGGGTGAATGTGTATTTCGAAAATGATCTGAACATCTGATATCAAATTGTGACTTTGTGCATATTAACCACCATACAACTGTGCTACTGTATCGGACAGTTTTACTTTCAGTAGTCTTCATGATTAACCGATTTTCTAATACAAAACAAAATCCTACAAAAACGTGTTCGTTGATAATATCAAGGTTAAATCTCCATTTCTGCTGTTTTACAACGCACTTATCTGTGCATCATATCATTCAAACTCCAAAAAACCCTTTGAGTTATAAAATGTCAGTTAATCGTGCATCTTACCATCGCATACAATAAAACAAAATCAACAAGAATCGTGTAGAAATGAATGATTATCAACAACAACATTCGTTGATTGTTCCATCGACTCCTATCAACGATATTACTGATATAAAGGATCGCCGCAGTTCGTCTTTCGCTGTTGTCATTGAACCGATCATCGTAGCAACAGAAGAAATTCCTGATATCGAAGTCGTCAATAGACCGAAATCATTCCCGCTATCTGGTATTCTCTACGGTCTTTTAGGATGTTTTCTTTTTGTTACTGCGACATTCACCGTCAAAGAATTAGGAATCGATCTACTCGATGCACTTATTATTCGTTTCATTATCCAACTTATTCTCTTAATATGCTTTGTTATTTCCCGTCGTTATTCAATCTGGCGAGGTACATTTAAAGAAAAATGTTTACAAATCGTTCTATGCATTTGCAATGGTCTAATTTTTCTCGGATATTTTATTGGTATCCGTTACCTGCCTTTTTCTGACTTTACCACACTGAATTTTACACGTTTATTATGGACAGTTACCTTTGGCGTATTGATCTATAAGGAAAAACCCACTGTCATGATAATTCTAGCTGTTGTTTTTACACTTTTTGGTGTGACATTTGTTGCGCAACCGACATTTCTCTTCAAACAGAAGATTATCATCGAAAATACATCATCAATAGATTCGACTTCGGTGAACTACCGAAAGCTTGGCATTTCTCTCGCATTGATAACTGGTCTTTTCTCTGCTATTAATCTCTTAATTTTCAAACAATTGTTAACATTACAATTGAAACCGAGTGTTTTAATTCTTCAGCATTCGCTTGTTTTCCTTCTGTGTATGATGTTCAATCAAGCTTACAAATATTTTCTGCTCGATGATATAACGTTCTTCACAACGACAATCTTCCAATGGAAATACTGGTTAGCTGGATTGATTAGTCTTCTTCAAACATTAGCAGTTATTGCCGGAAATCGTTCAGTGAAACGCGAACCACCATCGATCGTTACGATTGTTTCGGCGTCCGAAATCATCTATGCGATTGTCTTACAAAATTTATTTACAAGAAATAAGTCGAACATATGGGTTGTGATTGGAAGTTTAATGGTGATATCTAGTGTTTTACTTATTGGCGTACATAAGTTTGCACAAGAACGAAAGAAGAAGAAAAACGTCGAGAATGATAAAAGTGAAGGAAACGCTTGAGAAACTGTTGAGACCTTGTTTTGTTCTTAAAAAATTTATATGAATAATAGCCCTGCTTGTTTTCGCTCGAATCTAAAATGCTTCAACAGTTAAACTACTTATATTTCGAGGTAAAAGTTGATGAAAGTTTTCAGAATCGCCTGCCTGTCCTGAAGTAGAAGCATGCTCAATTACATCGTCGGTTCGGATTGCATCCTGAAAATTAGCATTTCATGCCGCATTGAAAAAATCTATTCTGGAGTGTGATCATCAATGGAAACAGAAAAAAAGATGATTACATCGATGACGTCAAACGTTTTTGTGCCATAGAGTGTATAAACAATTCTAGAGATTTTTAAACTTTGATACGAACTCTTTCGGTTTATATTGGGGAGAAAATCGATATTTCTGTTGTTTGTATCAGACGGGCAGGTATGTTAGCTTTTTTGCAACATTTACACGAATTTATGGTATACTTACTAGCAGATGATCACGTCCATTTCAGAATGCAACATTATCTTTTGAACGCAACGAACACATTTTCTCTTACCTGAGTTTGTTAAAATTAGTTGCACTTTTGGAACTAATGAGCTAAATCCATGCGCGTCACAGATCTCATAACGCTCATATACATTAATTTCTCTCTCATGTCAGTGAGTATATATAATTGAAAGGGTGTCAAATGTTCACAGTGTCAAAAAACCATACTGCAATCATCTCGTTTAGTATTGTTTGAATAGTAAACGTGCAGAACTATGCCCGTGTCCTATCCGATTCGCTCTTTGTTATATCTCATCTTTCTGATTCCATCTGTGATATGTGCCATCTTTTGTCTTTATCATTTTATTACTAATCGAGCACTTCGCAACGCTCTGAACAATCATGTTGTCATTTTCATCCTCGGTTTTGGTGTTTTTCTCAATATGACGGATATGATTTGGTTTGTCGACTTTTATCGAACTCGTCGTGTTCCAATATTTACACGAGCATTTTGTTTTACATGGGCATATATCGATTATGCTGTGTTTGTAGTCATCACATTACTAGTGACCTGGGCATCAATTGAACGACATATTCTTATTTTTCACCATAATCTCACTGCAACGCCTATAAAGCGGTTTTTTCTACACTATTTACCATTGGCTATCTGCGTTGTTTATCCGTTTGCGTACTATTTCGTTATCTATTTTGTTCTGCCTTGTGAAATCGTTCTCAAAGAAACTCGAATAGGGTGTGGTGTTTTAGATTGTGCACAGAGCATTACTGCTGTTGGCGTGTGGGATAGTCTTGTACATAATGTTGTGCCAATATGTATGATTGCTATCTTCAGTCTAGCGCTTTTGGCACGGGTATGGTATAGTAAATACCGAGTGCACCAAAGAATTCATTGGAGAAACTATCGGAAAATGGCTATTCAATTGTTATCGATCACTGGTATATATCTAATTATTGTATTTCCATCAATGGTTTTGTTCACTATGGATGCAGCTGGAGTGCTCGATCCATCTGCCTATGATTTTTATTCGAGTACTTATTATTTCTCGTACTTTACAGTTTTGCTTACTCCATTTGTAAGTGTCGTTGCACTCCCTGAACTTCGTAGTAAACTTCGACGGATGTTTCAGTTTTTTCTATCACCAAGATGTGTTCGAAGTAACCGAGTGGCAACAATTAACCCAATGACAAGAACTCGAACGCCTGCAATAGCACAAGTTGCGCACTGACTTTGACTAATGTTAATATTCGGCTTTCGATTGATGTTGTTTTGTGCGTGATTTATACTTTAAGTAAGATGAAAGAATCTCTTAAAATATAACAAATAGTTGCAACTCAGTGGCTCTTATCTTTGTCATGTGCGTTGATATTGTTATCGACATTCTATAGTTGTTACATTGCAAATGGCAAACGAATCTGTGGATAAAAAATCTGCCTTCTACATTGATGAACCGCCGATTAACGCTGATATCGAAAGTTTCTTTGCTAAGTATGCATCGGTTCCACCATCAGCACTGCGTGAGCACTTGACCACTGTCCGTGATCGTGCTTGGCAACGACATACGCATCAATGTCTCGGCTGTTGGAGGTTTCTATTTCCTTCAGTCAAACTGAGTCCTATTTACTCGGAAATCGTTGCAAAATGCATAGATGATGGTGCAACAGTAATTGATTTTGGATGTTGTCTCGGTCAGGATATTCGACAGCTTGTCTACGATGGAGTACCGGTGGAACGAATTCGTGGCTATGAATTGGATCCATTCTTCATCGAACAAGGATATGAACTATTTCGTGATCAAGAAATAATGCAAGGAAAAAAGGTATTCGCTCCTGGAAACATACTTGACGATCAACTTCTAAATGAAATCAAACCAGCTGACTATGTCTACGTTGGTTCGTTCATCCATCTATTTGACGTCAAGTCTCAGCCAGATATATGTCGTCGACTCACTCGTATAGCCAAACGAGCGATTGCTGGTAGACAGGCAGGTGCCGTAGTGCCTGGCGAACACCCACGAACTTGGGATAGTCTTGGTGGCAAACTTATGCGTCATTCTCCGGAAAGTTTTACGCAGATGTGGAGTGAAGCAACGAATGGAGAATGGCAAGTGGAAAGCGCTACACTTCAAACAACGAACAACGGCAATGACTCGCATAAAGGACTTATTTTTGTAGTGAGAAAACGTGGAGATCAATAAGTGATTTATTCACATAGAGAATGTTCTGAGTAGAAATAAATCTTAAGCACGCATTTGTAGACGCGATAATGAAATGAAGTTATTCGAGTAATCACTAACATAAATGGAGATAAATGCTCATGCCGAAATAGGAGATCTACGTTGTTTTATGAAAGAAAATTTCACCGTGAAAGATCAATAAAAAGGAGAGAACATGTACGAGTTCCAACAAGGAATGAATGCATCGAGTTGTATTCAAGAAGTATTCTCACTTTGGACAAAAAACACCAGGGGGTAAAAATCAAGAGAATTAGGAAGTAATATAAGAGTAAAAAAAGTAAAAAGAGTTGATGAAGCAAAAAGATACATATAGGTGAATAGTCTAAAGGAGTAGGGCTCTGATAGAAAATTTACAGTAGGATAGTTTTTATTTTTCGCAGACCTACACGTTTGATTGTAGATTTATTAGATGCGAGCGAGTTAACCAACATTCTGTACGAAGACTTTCGACAGAGTATAATGTAATGACTTTGCTCGACTATTTTCTTATAATGAAAAGTACTCGTTTCGAAAAGCTGAGGAAAAGTTACTTTGTTCAATTTAAAAATTATGACAACTGTCTTTCTTTAGCAATTTTTCATTTGATAATGTGTAAGTGCATATTTCATTTTAGCTGAAGTCAGAAAAAAATCAAACGTTTTTCGTTCGTAGCGTCATTAATAAGCAGAATGAAAAGAAATGAACTATCTCGCGTGGAAATTACTCATTAAAATTTTTATAAGATTATCGTTTTAGCCGATAGTATCGAATAAGTGCTGTATGAAGAAAAGGAAGGTATAAATACGTGTATGATTTTTACCAATATTGTATATTTTGATTCGGCGACGCATCATGATTACTGAAGCATAAAAAAAAAGTTAATTAATCTGAATGACCAAAATTATATCTGATTATTCACTGATGAGTGTAGTCAAATCTTCTCCATAGTAGCAAAACATGAGAGTAATGTACACAACAGAATATTGAATATTTATTCTCAAATATCGGATACGTAGGGCTTTTGTATTTATTCTACGGTATTTTCTTTGTTTTTTTTGTGATAGAACTGTGAAAACGATCTTACAATCTTGTTGCTCGAATGTCCATCTCCTAACAACGCTAACCATCAACGGAATCATCTAGGAAATGTGTATCTTCTTACTGATGAGTACTGCTACAGGATGCGTTCAAAACTATACTTTCCTTTTTACTTAGAGCATATCGATGGATTTAATATAATTATTTGACAGCAATAGGGCCGCGACAGACAGATATATCTCTCGAAAGTTTAGACATCTGATGCGCTAAGTACAGCATCTTTTGTGTCGTCCCTTCCTATTCATCATTGAAAAAAACAAAGTAATACGAAGCGTCAGTTTCTTGATGCGTCTTTGTATAACCCATGCTTAAAGAGATCTTTCGTCTGACAAAATCAAACATTCAACGTTGATGTTCATTAGCTTGTTGTGTAGCAACATGCAACGATTAGAATAAACGAGCATTTCGTAGGGTTGACCCCCAAGGGTCAGGTTTCAAATATTTCGCGGGTCCGATGCTCTTTGACCGAGTTATAAAAATTTCAAAATTTGAAAAAACCGCTTGTTAATGCATTTTCAGCTCAGTGCCAAAAGTAATTCTCGCCAAGTCCCGTATTTGAACAAATCGTTTTAAAAGCTAATTTTTTTAGGAATATGTTTGTTATGTTCATGTCCATCGGATGACATATTTTCTCCCCGAAAAAAAATCCCTTCGCAAAAATTCCCTACGTGAAACTGAATTTGGATGATGTAAAAACATAAAAATTTCAAGAAAACCAGTACGGATTCGTTTCTTTGTTACCAACTACCATTCCAACACTTGTTCCACAAACAGCTCAAGCAGCTCTACCGATTTCAATGAGAAAAAAAATTTTCTCCCAACCTCACCCAATCTCACCCACACCCATATTGGAAGCAATAAGTCGAGAACTTGAAAGAAGCTCACGGACTGCCGTTTGCTACAAAACCCAAATCTTAATATGTCATTTTGTAGAGAATCAAATTCTACATCGAATGCCATGTAACAGAATATGTTTTAAAGAGATTTGTTGCTGAGGCTACCCAAAATACGATTCTCAAAAAGCTTTTAAAATATTTTCTTAGAGAAAAAAGTCGGCTACGGACAAAATAGAGGTCAGATTCGTAATCAGCGCTAAAAACTACATCTGAAACAGTGTTTAGAAACGCTGTTATCAAAAAAAAAAAGTTTTTCAAAACTTAATCAGCGACGTGTCACTTTACGTGAGCATGCCCTATTTCGTTCGTAAACACAACAAGTAGACAATGCATTGAGGCAGATGATTCGAAGATATTGAGAAACACGTCTTTTTGCAATATGTTTGTTGGATTTAGTATGGACAACAACAGGAAATATGACTTATGCGCGAAATGGTCACACAGCATCTGTCTTAGCAAATGGATCAGTGTTAGTCGTGGGTGGATTTAATGGTAGTATTTATTTCAATAATGCTGAATTATACAATCCATCAACTGGTATTTGGATATCAACAGGAAGTATGACTTATGCGCGAAGTGGTCACACAGCATCTGTCTTAGCAAATGGATCAGTGTTAGTGGCAGGTGGATTTAATGGTAGTATTTATTTGAATAATGCTGAATTATACAATCCATCAACAGATACTTGGACAACAACAGGAAGCATGACTTATGCGCGAAGTGGTCATACAGCCTCCGCCTTAGCCAATGGAACAGTATTAATTACAGGTGGAACCAATAATGGTGCATTGATCAGTGTTGAAGTATATAGTCCATCAACAGGTACTTGGATACCAACAGGAAATATGACTTATGCGCGAAATGGTCACACAGCATCTGTCTTAGCAAATGGATCAGTGTTAGTGGCAGGTGGACTTAATGGTAGTATTTATTTGAATAATGCTGAATTATACAATCCATCAACAGGTACTTGGATACCAACAGGAAATATGACTTCTGCGCGAAATGGTCATACAGCATCTGTCTTAGCAAATGGATCAGTGTTAGTGGCAGGTGGATTCAAGGGTGGTATTTATTTGAACAATGTTGAACTATACAATCCATCGACAGGTACTTGGACACCAACAGGAAGTATGAGTTACGCACGAAGAGGTCACACCGCATTCGTCTTAGCAAGTGGATCAGTGTTAGTTATAGGTGGACAGAATAATGCTAGCCGTTTCTTGAGCGCTGCTGAATTATACAATCCATCAACAGGTACTTGGACACCAACAGGAAGTATGGGTTATAGACGTGCATTTCACACAATATCCGTCTTAACCAATGGTATAGTGTTAGTTGCAGGTGGACTGAGTAATGGTAGTAGTTTCTTGAACAGTGCTGAATTATATTAATGGGCATTTGTTATGAAATATTTTCATTCTATGAATTGACTCTTCAAAAATGTATGTTGTAAACCATTTCTTGATTCATTGCTATTGCTACTTCTGCTCATTTAACTCTAGATTGCACTATGACATTATTCTTCTTTTTAAAAATTCTTATACCACATTTTATTGCTTTATTTTATCATCATTTTTTTGTATTAATCATAAATCTACTTCTTTTATGTCAATTAGCGATTTCATATTATTTTATTGACGAGGATCATATATCTATAGATAAAATATAATTTACTATTCGAAATAAAAGTGATCTTCTTCGAAGCTTATTATCGACAATTGATAAAATGAAAAACTGTTATGAAAAGAAAGAATGGTTTTTTTCTGCACAAATCTTTTGAAGATTTCTGTATATTATAGTCAATATATGAGATGCACAGATTGCAATATCTATGTATTTTCTCATATTATCTTTAGTGAAACTTATGGAAATATATTAGAATATTATTGGAGGATAATATACAATGACTTTGATATTATTCGTATGATCAATCCCAAAGAAGAGAAAATTGTAAAATGTTGTGTAATATTTATTACCTTTAGTTCTATTACACCACTGATCATACATAATTTAATTAAGTAGAATATGGTCTTTTACTAATATTTCATATATAAAGGATATATATTTTAAAAATGAAGAAATCATTCAGAAGTCTACCTGTAATTGAAAATAATACAATTTTCTTCATTGGTTTTAAATCCAGTCCTCAAGAAAGGAATGATTTTAATAGTATTGACAGTCTGTTTTATTTTGCTGTGAGCAATGTTTACGTGATCGCTTGGTGGTTGGACGGCATATCCTGCATATGGAACTTTATTAACACAGGAAATATTTCAGAAAGTCCTAAAATAAATCATAATTTCAATTCTTTATATTGCACACTGTATCTATATTAACCACAGACCCGTGAAGTACTATTATCCGGAGCTTCGAGTTCAGGTATAACACACATTCCACGTTCTCTTGCATATCGTACTGGATTGTGAATATTATCAGCTGAGGATAAGCTTTGGAAACGTATGGAAATGATATTGCGTCAAGAAAATGCCAGCGAAATACATTCATTTTGTTCCCTGACATCGTATCAATAACTTTATAAAGATCCTGTATGCCATAATAGTGACGTGATGTATCGAGTAGTAAACCTCTGTGATTATATTTTGGATAATCAGTAATATTCCAGGTAGCATTTGGCCTGACAAAACATGATGAACAAGTGACCAGCGTACTATTTGAGAGAAAGTTTTCATGGCGTAAAAAGTACCATGGACGGTCTTGACTTCAATTACATTTCTTCGTACGAAATGAATGGAATCATCAACGAATAAGATACATCTGTTTCTGGATCGAGCTGTTCAGAAAAGAAATTATAGATGATGATGCTGTCGTCGACCAATTGTAAGGAATCATCGGATGGCTTTCTTTCAGAAAAATTACTTTTTGATAACGTTGAATACCTTTACTTAAAATAGAACTACTGTTTTTGATATCGAAGTATACATTGCTAGAGAGCTCAGTAGTTATATTACCACGCTGCCAAACCTGCGGAAGTGGTCAGATCCAAAGTTGTTGGATAGGATTATTAGCTGGAAGATCATCGACGCCATTGTCTTGCATTGATTTAGAATGAGGGATTCTAGTCGCCATGTTAGTACCGATGATAATGAAAAGTAAAATACTAGTAGTGACAACCATAACAATTAACACTTCTCTTTTATTCTCTTAATCATCAAATAGAGTTATGCAGAAAGAAGACAAAAATATCTCTCACTCTCTCTTTGTCAATAGACGTGTTACAACATACTCTTATCTAATGCTGTATTTATAAAACACTTGTGATAACAATTCTTGATTATGTATATGATAAAACGAATTGTTGTAAATTCCCATGTAAAAAAACATAAAGGAATCGGATTAAAATCGATCTGTCTATGGAAAATAAATTTTAATTATGAATACACACATTACAGTTTACGAACCGGCTCACATGAGCTGACGAACTGTTAGGATGAGTTCGATTCCTTAATAAGAACTGGTAAGAAAAGTGAACGGTTCTGAATTAGAATTCAACTATGCGTACCCCTAATCATAAGCCTTTCTCTTATAGAAAAGGGATTCAATACTCTATTTTATATTGCAATTCTGCCCGTTCACATCCTCACCTACCATAAAATTTAGATCGAAATCTCCCAGGAAAGGTTAAACAATAAAATGTTTAAGAAGATTTTTTTAATTTAAAATTGTTTACGAATATTTCCAAGAAGTTGCTCAAGATATTTCGGGTCTTTTCCAAGTAAATTGATGAGACGCTTGCGAGCCTTTTGAATAATACCATGCCACATCACTGCTAATAACCCAAAGCGAACTTCAAGCACAGCGATGACAATAATCGAGATGAGAACTTGTTGATCGATTTGATTATTTTCGTGAGAAAACTCATCAAGTGTCTTTCCAGTCAAGTTCTTAATAGCCTGTGAATCAAGATCCCAAAGACCATCAAAGTTTTGATTGTTGATTAAAAGTCGAACAATATCATGATCATTCGATGGCCATATTTCTTTTTCCATAGACTCGTCTTCTTTCTTCTTCTTCTTCTTGAGCATGGAGCCAGAGGGAACATTGTCCTGATCATCTTCATCCACGCGAAGGCCTTTTTGTTGAGAAATTCGTTTTTTAAGCGTGCTTGACCGAAGTTTATCTTTATACTCGGAACCATTACACATTATTTGTTGAGGTGTGCTTAATGATGTAGTATTGCGACTGCCAGAAGTGTTGGATAAAATCTTTCGATGTCGACAAGCGCCTCTAGCACCAAGTCCTAATCCGCCACGACCTCGACCCGTACCAAAAGATGCCTGCATGGATCTCTGTAGATGTTGATCATCAGCAGAAATTTGGATAGGTACTTCACGAAGAACCATGTTCGTATTATTTACATTTATTTGTTTTTCAACTCCGACAAATGCCGTATAAGGACTCAAAATATTATATTTCAATGATAATGCAATAATACGTTGTTTAGTTGTCTCTTCTGATGATGTTTCCATCGGTTCTTGAAATCGCAGTTGCTTCGAACCAATTTCCATTTTTTTCGTATTCGATGACGGTAACTTAGCATGTTGTAATTCGAGAATGAGCGCTTTAGCTGCCAAACGAGCGATTGTTTCGTTGTCACTCACAGATGGAATATGATCAACTTTGGCTACACCTAACGAACGATGATCACACTCGGATTGTAATTCGACAGATGAATTATGATCAAAAGGAATAGTTTTATCGTCGACCAGTGCGTAGATAATCAGACGATCGTTGGCATAGACTGGTGGTAGGTAAGTTGGCGCACTCTGAAATGAAACTCCAAGGTTCCATTTAGCGTGCACATTGGTAATACATGGTTGAAGTGCTTTTTGTAATTGTTCTCCAACGTATAGATCAACACTGGCATTTGGTGGAATGAAAACAAATCGACCATTGGTTGCACGAGCGAGACCTTTTACTAATGATCGACTTGGGGATTGTCCTAGGCCAAATGAAAATATGCGAGTCGATGTGGCCATTGAACGACATAGATCAAGTACTTCTGTTACGTTAGAAATTTCACCATCTGTCAAAAGAAATACTTGGCGAGCACAACCTTGACCAGGCGAATGTTGTGCAATCCATCGCATAGGTCCTAACTACGCATATATATATAAGAAGAGGCTACAGTTAAAAAGATAAAACTCACCAATTCAGTGCCACCGAGATCTGCTTGCAATCGTTCAATAAATTGTTCGGCTTGTTGTGCATTGGTTTCGTTATAAACTACCGTGTTCTCATTGAATAGAGTTTTGTATTCAGAGCCAAATCGAATGATATTGAAATGACAATCAACAGGTAAACTTTTGAGGAAGAGTAACATTGCTTGTCGAGCCAATCCAATTTTGCTTTCATCCTGCATCGATCCACTACAATCGACAACAAAAATAAATTCATTTGTTAAATCATTTTTTGATGCTTGATGACATTCTTCTTCGGTAGGAACGAATGCAGCCATTATTGCACCAGGTTCAACAGCCATAATAGTGCTACTTCGTTGACTGGAAAGTTCAATATTAATTAGGATATCTCGATCTAAATGAGTATTTTGTTGTGTAAATGTTACAATATAAGCATCTTGCTGAACAAGATCAATTTCAATTGGATGTGACGATGAGCTAACTCGAGTAATTTGTTCTGTTCGAGAGCCAAGCGTCTTTTCAATATGGCAACGAAAATCAATGGTATATGGACTCGACTGGACATATTTAGATGTAGTATTGGCTGGCGACGCAAGTCCGCCTTTGTCAGGATTATAACGTGGTGCAATTGTTGTGGGCACAACAAATCGAATTATTGATCCTTGAACAAGATTCAATTCTGTTATGTAACCAATAGTAATTGTACATTCTTGTGATGGTGGTAAAGCGCCGACATTAATGATAAAATTGTCTTGCGATTTTTCATCTTGTTCGAATAAATAAGCTCCATAACCATCTTGCAATGCATTTTTATATTCTTGTTGTGCTTCTTTCTTCTCTTTTAACTGAGCGCTAATTTCTCGATCATTAATTTGAACTTTGAATGTGTAGATTGCTGCTTGTTCTTCAATTGGAAAGCAATAGATCGCTTCAATTGGTGTTGCTTCGTCATTTCGAAATATTTGCGTAATCGTCACGTCAGCAGCGAATGCACGAATTTTTGATTCAACAAGCACTCGTTTCAAAGGCACATAATTTATTTGTTGTTGTGCAAGAACGACTGATGCTGAGAGGTCGTTTTTTATTCGAAGCATACCGATATGTATGTGTGCGTGTACACGTCGTTTCTTTATATTCTGTTCGGTTGCGTCAATGTTAAGAAATGACAGAAAACACCTATTACATCCATGTGATTCAAACAACGTACTGCTCTATTAGTATATGGAGAGGAATGAAAAAAAAAAAGAAAATGCTCCACGAGTAGTCACTGACTCACCAGGTCGCAAGAGAATGATAACATGATGGTTTATTCAGTTACACAATGTAGATAAAAAATATGCTTACGGACGTTCATTCCATCTTGTGGGTATCGGGTGAGTGTGAGGGAGAGAATATCTCTCTGTTTCATACCCACACCCTCACCCACTAAAAAAAGTGAGTACACTATTAGAATCGATTAGTTTGTCTTCTATTTTGAAGTTATAAGCTGTAGAATTGAAGTTCATCAGGTTCCTCTGTTCGTAAAACAAGACATTTGCTGTTGATTATAGCTGCTGATATAACTTTTTTCACATGTTTATCCGCAAGTGTTTCTTTGAGTTGTCCATTTGAATCTAGTAGATAGATATAATTTTCTGTATATATAGTTGCCAGATACTCGAATTGTCCGTTCAGAGGTAAAGGGATAAGACAACAATAATGGCCAGCGTCAATATAAGTTGATTGTTGTAACAGACTCATATCCTGAGGATTATATAAAGCAAACGAAAATGCACTCCAAACAACGCCTTCGGGATCATCTAGTATGACTCCAACATGAGTACCATCACTATTGAATTTGATTTGAGAAACATCTCGTATGGCAAACATACCTTCTAATTGCCAATTAGACAGATTATACTTCTCAATTTTTTCTCCTCGAGGACCTATGGCACACATAAATGTCTCTTCGTAACATGTACAACTTCGTACACCTCCAATAATCTTTTTAACTGCTTGTAACTGTTCTGTATTAATATCCAGCGCATAAAGATTTTTGCCTGAACCGTCCGAAATAAGAAACTGGTTTAAGTGTGATGACCAGCAACCAGCTTGAGCACTAAACCCTACTGGTATGATGATCTTTTCATTTCCTTGTTCATCAATTAACAATAAGCCGTTTGTGATATCGCAAAGTAAAAAGTTTTCATTAGCAGCTAATATTGCCATACGGTTTTCAATACTGATAGTCAATCGCGGTTGCTCTTTAAAACTATCAAAATTCAATTTATTTGATTGATTCAATACTTTCGAAGCCATATCTAAAGTAAACCTGTAATAAATAGTGATGTTATAATTATCTTTAGAACTACAGGAAAAACATAATTATGCACGCGGATAATAGAAGAAGAACGATAAATACAACAGATGAGGCTATAAACGAATACAAAAAGCGCACAATTGTATTCGCTTTTTATTACAATCATCGCTGCACTACAGACTTCCATCTTTCGTCTTAACGAGGAATGCATTAATAATTAGATGAAAAATCCAGTAAGCAATGAAGCGTTTTTCCCAGTGCTTACATATCAGACATAACTTGGATTAATATATAAAGAAGAAATGAAAAAAACACGTCCCAGGTCAATGATTCCGGTGACCGGATCCCGCGGGATCCTTCCGGAACCGTGGCCTTTTCCCGCATCTTTCCGCCGTTTCCGAGCAAGGATTCCACCGGAACCCGCCGGAAAAAGATACGGAAAATGGAAGCAGTATTCCCACCGGAAATCACCCGTACCGGAACCGAGCAAAACCTTAAAAATCCTGCCGCCGTAAAAAAACGGGACAGTCCCGTATCCCACACGGAAACACTCGGAAACACAACGGAACCCGTCGGAAACGTGTCGACCTGAGCCGTATCCCGGCGGGATATCGCCGTATCCAACAACCCTAAGTCAAATGCAATGCCAATAAATATATTCAGGAGATTTTTCGTCCCCAAACAAATTCTATTAATTCATATGATATCTCTTCGATTTACATGGATTTCGCCAAGATTTCACCAGATTTCAATGATATTTTCCTTGATTTCGTCGAGATTTCACTAGATTTCATTAGGATTCCGCCTGGATTTACATGGATTTCATTGACATTTTCCTTGATTTCGTCGAGATTTCACTAGATTTCATTAGGATTTCGCCTGGATTTACATGGATTTCATTGACATTTTCCTTGATTTCGCGTGATTGCCCGTAGAAATCTCCCAGAACTCACCCCACCGAAACACAACTGAAGGGCGAGAAAACACCCCTATTTATACTACTTACTTCTGCAGAACAAAACGGTGAATGATTAGCCGACAGATTGGAAATCTAAATCGGATTATTGGCATTCTTACGGAACTCAGGAGTTTCTAGGGAATAAGATGAATGTGAACTGAGTTTCAGTGGGTTTCGGCATGATTATGGGTATGTGGAATGACTATGATTTTAAGCCCATGGGCTCTGGATATCAGTAGGTTTCTATGGTATTCGGGTTGAATTTTACGGTCGTGGCTAATAGTTTTGAAGTATAGTTCATTGGGTTTTCCTGTAATTTGTAAAAAGAAGGGTGATAGTGTGGCATAAATGGTTCGGGATTTGGGTGTTGTTGAAAAACCGTTTATTGTCGAGGCATCGTGTGTTGTTATTTCGAATTGTTTTTCGATTTTCTAAAGTGTGGTGGTAGAGTTCCAGAGAATAGGTCATTGTAATTAAGTCGGTTCCCATCATCTAGTAGTTCGTTATCTGACTGCCTTGATTTGCGGGAGGACCATCTGGAAACGATGTGGTGAAGAAGCGGAAATTGGTTTGTGTGCCTGTATAGGTCTGCGTCAGTTCAAAGGTGAAAGGTCTAAAGGGAAAATGCTGAAAACGAAAAGTGTTTTTGGACGGTCTGGCCAGAGGGGTGAAGGTCAAAATTGAAAGGTTAAGAGCCAACCATGAAATAAAGATCGAACGCTGTTGTAGGACCGAACTAGCATTAAAATCATTTTTTGGAAAAAACGAACCTCAGCAAGTGATTGGTTGAAATTGGCTAACCAGACGGCGAGAGCGAAAATGTAGTTAAAATGGTGACCGTGTACCATGCTGAAAGACCAGATGTTATCTGTGACATCCAAAAGATTTCGGGTTAAAGGTCAGAGGCCAAGGGTGAAAAAACATTTTTTTTCAAAAACGCTCAACAGTTCATGAAACATGATTTGTGAGAGGTCTTGAGGCTCAAGGTTGGTAGAAGGGAACTCGGGGTCAAAGATCACGAAAGCATTTTTTCGAACTCTCACGAAGATTAAAAGAAATATCCATAGACATGACCATATGTGATAGAAACATCTCAAGGTTAAGGATCAGAGGTGAAGGGAACACTTTTCGAAATCTTTTGGAAAGCAAATTTGTGTCCTTTGGGAGGGGTATATTACTTAGATTTTGTAGAGACATCACATCACACGAGTTCCTGGAATATCCGTAGAACTATGGGAGAGAGGTGGCAATGTTCTGTTGATACCTTGGTTTCTTACTGGTACCCTCGATTCAAAGAGATTACATCTAATAATATAAAATTGATCGAATGTTCGGGGAATATGTGTTCTACATCTTGGAAGTTAAATTACATTCTACTAGGAGAAGTGTTTAAAAAAACTGTTTCGTTCTCACCTGCCACATTGATTCGAATCATGTGTTCACGATCCTAGCCATAAAGGGAGTATCCAAGAAGCTTTCTTTATAAGCTACGAGATTTGAAAATCGATATAAGAGATCTGTATAGCATTCTATAGATATAATTTTAACGAGTTCAAGACGTGATGACGATATATAATAATGAAACAAAATAGCTATTCTGTTGCTTTCAGACTTGTCTGCAAACGCATGGGCCAAGAATAAACTATGATCAGTTAACAATTTTGTTGGATCAGATCAGTTGCTAATCAATATACATGAGAACGATGAGCTGCTCCCGGTAACATATTCTGTTGCAGAAATGAGAAAATTCAAGCTAGTTTGGTTCTGAAAAATATAGGCAACTGTATGTTATTTTTCTCGAGTCATCGTTTTGTTGAAAAATATAGGCATGTTTAACAGTGGAAAGTTCAAGTTACCCGCTCTTAGGGAGTTACCATTTCATTTTGATGGTGACTTTTGTTTAGAAATGCATGCTAAATAAAGAAAAAGATAATGATCCCGAAATTAGCTCGTAAAATTTCCGATAAAGGAGGATCGCACCCGAGAAGTCAGGTTTATTGAGATATTTCTGCGTTTGTGGTGTGAGACGTAAATGGAGAATATTGTACGATGAGTTACTATTCCAGTCGAAGGTTAAGCGAGTCAATCTCGACGAGCGCTATTTATCTGGCAAGGTGTATATCGGCTGAATTTCAGCGGATTTCACCTGGATTGCATATAAGTTACATATGGATTTCATGTCGATTTGGCCTACTGTTAAAAAAGGCGGCACACTGATATCTAAAAGGTTGAAGATTTTCGTACCATTTTGAGAATCTTTTATGGTTGGAGCAGAATCTGGCTTTATTCAAAACTCTCTTCGATTTGTGTAAAACTCGTGCTAGTCCTCCAGAGAACAGCTGATTTTAGTCGCTTCACATTCCACTTTTTATTGATTCTATATTTAATTACTTATCCTTCTCTCTTACTTACCAGATCTACCCTTAGCATATATTTAACCGTATGTTTCTATACTGAATTGCCTATCTCTATCTAAGCGCGTTGTACGCTATCTACTTATATTCTTTATTATAATTTTATCGTAAAGAGAATTCTCCTTGGTCTATCTTTACTTTTACGGCGCATCTTATCTTTGAAAGCTTCTTTGACTAGTATAGGCATTGTTGTACGGTAAAATATGGTAACAGATCCCAGCATATCAGATTATAATTCGATTCGTGTGAACAAAGATAATATTAGCGAGAAATTGAAATCTTCTGAACCAAATTAGCATTGATTCGTCGAATTTCAGTTGATTACCATTTCCACTTTCCTACAGAAAAATCGAATTATGATTGGGGTATGATGGTCTGTAATGTCATCTCCCTGACAGCGCTTACATTCAGGCCTTTCAAAAATCGTAAGTTAACATTTTTTAATATATTCATAAATGTATAAACCAACTTGCTTTCAAATGACACGAAAATATACCGAGTTTCGTGTGTGCGGAATCATTTGGTTTTCTTATATGTTTTTTTTAATTGTCTAAAACCTTTTGATGGTTTATTGATAAATGAATGAAACCTTAAAAGGTTCTGAATCTATGCTGAAACCCAGAGATGGGCAAAATACTCGAAGTACTCGTACTCGTACTTGTACTCGATGATTTATCGTCTGGAATTTTAAATAAACATTTTACTAGATAATACTTATTCTTTTATCATTCACAATGAAAGCAGCGAATTATATCTTCTATAAGATGTCGATACCGATATGTATAGTGATCTACACGATATAAGTCATATAATGATCGCCATGTTCTATTTGTATTTTCCTCTTTTAATTTTCTTATTTATTTTCCATTGACTATTCTATATAAATATGTGGATTATTACTGTTGTTTGCGTAATATGAAAGTCTTTCTTTTCTTTCTTCGGTTTCCTTCAAACAAACAAATCCATTTGAATAATTCTCTATTTATTCTCCTCCTGCTGGTGTTATTTGGAACGTATTAATTTTCTCATTATTGATTTTTCTTCTGTTAATTTATTAATAATGGCTACGAATTCTTCTGCATTTATCAACACAGCTGATCCTGATGATATTTCGATCGAGGACAATTCAAATTATCCATCAATCATCAAAGAATTTTTCTCGTATCTGAAACATAATATAGAGAAAAATCGATGGTCATCGAAATGTAGATTTTGTCCTTTGATCATCACTGATACTTATAAAACAACTTCAAATTTTGTGAAGCATGTGAAAAATAAACATCAATCCCTCTATGATGAATGGAAAAATAAAAATGCTGAATCTTCAAAAGATAAAAACCAACCGAAAATAAACCATGTATTTAGTCCTGATAGAGAAAAATGTAAGTATGTTTGTCGTTTTAAAAATGTATAAAACCTATTAACTTTAGATTCGACGAACAACATACGACAACAACAGCTTACCAATAGCATTATTCAAAATTTAATAATAAATATGGCTCTTCCATTATCAATTGTCAATCATGTGTCGTTTAACAATTTCATGAAGAATGTTGATCCAAAGTATAAACCTATTCACAGACGTGATCTTACTCGTTCACATATACCTGTTTTACATAAGAAATGTATATCTAAATTACAAGCAATTTGTTCTCGTTCAAATCATGTAAGCCTTACTCTCGATGTTTGGAGTGATCGTCGGATGCGATCGTATTTTGGTATCACTATGCATACTATTATTGAAGATAAACATCAATCATTTTTACTTTCATTTGAACGATTACAAGGACAACATACAACCGATAAACTTTCAACAGAATTCGATCGTGTCGTACAACTTTATAATTTAAATAATAATATTGTTCGTTTAATTACTGACAATGCCAGTAACAATTTAGCTGCATTTGACAACATTGTTTTACCCGGGTTTGATGATTAGTTTGAAGAAGTATCAAATAATGAAGTTCAATCTGATTCATCAGATGAAACATCTGATAATTCTTCACTTGATGAAAGTAAACCATTGCAAACGTATGAAGTCAATGATTCTATTTATCAGACCACGTTAACTTCAGCAACTGAAGATGAATGTCTACGTTTACCATGTTTTTTGTCATTGTCTTCAATTGGTGATCAATGATGGTATAAAAGCAAGTGGTATGGCATTATCTTTACTCAAGAAGGTAGCTAATTTAGCTAAATTTGCTCATTCAAGTGTAATATTTGCTGAACGATTAGAAAGTATAAAATATAGTATTCCAAAAGCCAATCGAACTAGATGGAATAGTCAATTTCAAACAGTGAAAAACGTTATCAATATTCCATGTTCAACACTTAATTCTATTTTAACTGATTTGAAGAAAAATGATCTTATTCTTACTAGTAAAGATAGGAAAGTTTTAGAAGAATTCGTATCTTTGTTTGAATTATTTCATCAGGCTACTGTATTAACGCAAGGTCAATCATATACAACTATTAGCCTGGTTGCACCTACTGTACTTAGTATACTTTATGATCTGGAACGTGAACTTCATTCTTCTTCTTCTTTCACTCTTATTTCACTATGCAAAACTCTTATTTCATCAATTAAAGCTAGATTTAGTGGCTTACTATGTCATTTTGAAATTGATGTACCTTTTGACTCATATTGTATGTCGGAACGTTTTTCTGATGTGATTTTTCTTATTTCTCCACTTCTTGATGCACGTTTTAAACTCTTGTGGCTTAATAGCCTTGATACAGTTGTGAAAATGCGTATCCTTGAAAAAATTCGTGATGCATTTGTTCGTTTTTTTTCTAAATTAATTATTTCTACGTCGCGAAATACAGGAGCTGACTTGGCAAATGCAGCTGAACCAAGTGATGCCAATGTAGCAGAAAAAATCAATGATGGATTAATCAAAAGAAAATGTCTTTTCCCTTATTTCAATGAAACTAAAATAGTTTCTAGTAATGATAAAACCAAAATTTTAACCGAATTAGATGCTTATTTGTGTGAAGAAAGTTATCAAGAAAATCTACTTTTTATGAAAAAATATTTGTATCCATGCTTATATCAAATGGGGTCTTCAGTATCTGACTGTACCGGCAACATCAACACCTATAGAACGTGTTTTCTCACAAAGTGGATATATTATGCGAGCACATCGAGCTAAATTAACATCTAAGAATGTATGTTTACTAACTTGTCTTAAATGTAATTCATTTCTACTTTGATTCATTCACTTGAAGTTTAATAGTAAATAAATCTATGAAAAAATCTTTTAGTATTCTCTTCGGCGATATTTTACTTCTACTTACTCATCAAACAAACAATTATTTAAAACTACAAAACTATTTCTTACTAAATATTATAAATTTGTCGTTGTATCTAATGAAATAGTGTTCGCATTGAGGAAGGTGGTCCTGATATTTATACTGCATCCAAAGTACTCGTACTCGAAAAAACTTCGTTCTTGCCCATCTCTGCTGAAACCTTAAATGGTTCTCTATAACGCGCTTTTTTTACAGAGTAGCCTTCAGCAGGTTTCACCAAGACCAACTATCGATCCAATCACCTATATGATTTTGAACTAAAACAAATGAAAACTACACTAACATATATCACTGAATACTCAGAACAACACTCTTATTTGTACCACTTAGTGTCGCAGAACAAAACGGTGAATCATTAGCTAAGAAATTAGAAACCTAAATCTGATTTACGGTATTTCTACTCAACTCAGGAGTTCCTCTCTAACAAGCTCGATTTCGACTGAACTTCACATAGATTTCGCTTGGATTTCACTTGATCCTTTATGAGTTGAATACGATTTCATATAAATATGATGTGAATTTCTGCAATGCACAAGGAAGCTCTTGTAGGTTCTGTTGTGATTTGGAGCGATTCTTCACAGCTCTCCGTAGTTGCGAATGTCTTGTCTTAATCATTTCAGTATTCACGGACATTTAAGAGATTTTGAGTAGGTTCGAACTTCAAGCGTTGGTAAATGATCATCATTGAATTACTGTGAGGCTAGCACGATGAAATGGTGTGTTGCCTAAACACTTTTTCACTAAATAAGTCCCGCCCTTGAAACCTACACCATTCGACTCAGAATTTATTTCTGCATCGAATGGTCATGTTTTTATTCATGAGATAAGCTTTGGAAAAAATTTTATCTACTTACATCTTAATTGTTTTTCTATATGAGAGACAAAATTTAAAATAGAATTTTTCTCGAAGTTCGTTACGTGAATATAGACATCACCATCGATGCAGAATTAAATTCTGAGTCGAATGGCGCAGTTTTCATGGACGAGGCTTATTTCGTAAAAGCGGTTTTAGTTCACACATGGCTCCGTCGTGCTAGCTCCACAGTGATCATCACTGGACAGTTTTGGCGTTCCTTTTAGGTTAATTTGTAGCATTGCAGTGGAGAACGTTTACTCGTGAGAGACTGTACGGATTTTTATTAGTATTTAATGTTTTATATTGATTTTGGATTAATGCAAAAAAATCCTGCGTTTCACCACTGGATGTGTGCTGAAATCAGTGAACTTCTTAAACAACATAGAAAATTCCTCAAACATGAAGAAATCACCTTGTTCTAGTTTAAATATTTAGAAAAATACAGATCGACTAA